GTAAATTGACAGTGCAAGAAGCTTGCTTGAGTTATGGAAAAATCATACTTTATACAGGTGAGTCACCGGTCTCCACCCACGACATTTGCGAGTGATAAAGTCCTGGCTACTTCATTTTAATTTCTAATCAATTAATTAAAATCATCCAATCATTTAGGGATTTTCAAGAAAATGTTCAGTCAATGAGAAGAATTTGTAAGGTAAGAAGGGATGCAGGGTCATCGGTATTTTTTTGCATCTCAATAGTTATGGTAATCTTAAATCAGTTCCTACACTTAGATTAGTGCTTTTATTTTTTTGTCTTGTTGCATTTTCTTGAATTCCAACTCAAAATGCAACCAAGTCTGATCCGAACATGACTTTCGAAACACAAAAGCAAAGCATCTTTGACTTTGGAGTTGGCTAGGTTCATTTCGAGATGGGTCCAAAGACAATATTGAAGTTATTAGGTTTAATTTGGTGGGTATGTTCATTAAATTTACATCTTTTTTTGCTATATATATATTCTAAATAAATTAGAACCATTGAAACTGGTGCGATGGTTTAGTTCCTTCGGCCTGACCATGATAGAGCTTCTTTTTTTTTAAATAAAAAAATTGAGAATACATAAACTTGAATAATTCACCAATGATCACAGATTATGTTCTGTCGTTGCAAAGGCTTGAACAAGGCATATTGTGTCAAGGAAGAACCCTAGTTATCATTTCGCACCATGACAATTTGACTCACGAGGCGGCTTCAAGCCAAGAAACCATAGGATAAAAGAGTGAGCCTATGGCAGCATGTGGTCAAAGCCACAAATGGTTGACGAGATTGCAATTCACAGCTATCCTGACATATTTGTTTTTTTATTTCAAAAATATTTTTTAAATATTTTTAAATTTTTAAATTTTTTCTTTACTTTAAATTAGTAGTTTTTTAATATTTATATATTATTTTGATGGTCAAAATAATTTTTTAAAAATAAAAAAATATTATTTTAATATATTTTTAAATAAAATATATTTTAGAAAACCACTATAATCATAATCATAGTATGTATATTTACTTTGTACTTTACATGGTGAAAATTTAGAAGAGAGAGCTCTCATGCTGGCCACGGTATTGTCAAGTATACTTTATTATTGACGAGTGACCTCCATGCTTTGCTTTTCTGGGCCGAGGAAGAGAGGTTTAAAATTAATGCACTTTTTTAGAGCACTTTACATCAATCCACAACCTAACCAAAGTAATAAAAAGGAGGAGGGCCATCTCAGTCATTGGGAATTTGGGATATAACAGCTCTTATAGAACCCTAATGAAGACGCCATTTTCGTTTTAAAGCAATAAAAGATATACGTCAGTAGAAACTGATCCATATACGACCTTGGATTGTTATTTGTGACGGCAAGAGGGTTGCTTGCAAACGCAGTTTCATGCGTTTTGTAGGGGAAAAGGAGATATGTGCTTTTAAGCACAGCACTGTCGGAGTTTGTTCCTGGATAAGGAAATAATCAGTGAAAGTCTAATTATCAGCTAGATAAAGATGATGCCCTCCCCCCCCTTTTTTCTTTTTTTCTTTTTTCTTTTTTCTTCGTCTTGTCCTTGTTACGAATTAAAGTAGAAATATTGTTGCCAAACCAAATAGTTGTGTTTAGTTGCATCTATGTACTTGCATATAAAGTACATGATAGTGATTAGTGAACATTGATATGTCATAACCTCCCATTCTTTTTTGTGTTTTTAAAAAATTATATTTAAATTTTGATAATTCATTTGATTTTTATTATGATGGTGATGATAATAATAAAGAATTTACGGAGTTAAAAAAAAAAACTGAGAAAATGAAAAGGACTGATGTGATTAGGAACTAAAAATAATAATGGGGAATTATGCAAAAAATAAATAAAATCAAGTAAAATTAATAAAAAATTAATAAAAACGATCATACATTTTAAAAAGATAAAGTTTAATTAATTAGAAATTTATAGTGAAGAAGGAAATAATGTAATTGCCTAATATTATTTCATTTTTATTTTACAAGAGATCATAAATAATATAAATAGAAGAGAAGAAAAAAAATAAAAGAGACCCTCCATAGTTAAAAAGAGAGAATCTTGCAAGAAAAATCTAAACAAACAACAAAAAAAAAAGACAAGAAAACACAAAAAAATCCAAAGTTCACAAACTTCATGGAAATTCCAGTATCATCATCGCAGCAACTTCCTAGCACCCGATCTCCTAGCAGCAATGGAGGTGACTTGCACCGCCACCACCCACGGTATAGGCCACGTGTCTCTTTGACCAACCAGTAAGCTTAAAGCAGCCTCGAAATAAAACCTATCGCTGCACGCGTATTGTATACAAGCCGATGATGTTATTTTCCAGCACTTTTATTTTCTCATTCCAGCCTCTCCGGCCAGTTCCAACACACTCCGACTCGAAAATGTCACTTTTTAATCCCCTATGTTATTTCGACGTTCAAACAATTTTTGATTTGTTTTGTTGAATTGTGAATCACAATTGCGTGTGTCGGTGTTTGTTGTTTTGAACAAATTCATATATTTTCATGATTTTTTTTCTATGTTCAATTATGATTGTTTATAAAAATTGAGTTGGGTGAAATATTTGTGTTTTTTTATAATGAATATGCTAGCTTGGGGGCAATAATTAATTTATTATGGGTAAAATCTCATATCATTATGCGAAGATTTTTACTTCCAATTAACCTATTATTTTTATTTTATATAAATTTTGACATTTGTGTATAAATATATATTTTTATAATTAAAATTAAATAATAATATAACTTATCTTACATAATATATTTTTAAATGATATCTATTTTTATTTAGCATGATCAACCCATTATCTAAATTAAAATATTTAAAAATTAGTTACGAGTTTTAATTACCATAAAACTAGATAATAATTTTATTTTTTTACACCTTTCACAGTAATTAAATTCGCCTAGATGTGCTCGTGACAATGGGTTAAAGCTGATCTCTTTCATTTTCTCGTGAAAATCTTAACAGCTTTAGATCAAAGACTTCTTTCGTCCAATGAAAGCTGATAATGTAGCTTGTTTCTTTTCTATTGAGTCGTACATGGCGACTTGAGACGAATTGGATGCAAAATTCAAATCTGTAATGGCAAGCAAACCTTTTCTCGTAAACAAATTCAAAGATGATTTCTCACCAATAAAAATAACTATTTCATCTCTCCTCTTTGTTTTCTTTTCCTTCATTTATTGTTCTTTGAATGATCTCAAACCCTGCGGGTTTTTGTCATGTTTTCACGGTTCCAATAACTTCAAATCTACATCTATGAGAATATCCGATATTTTTATCTTGGTTTAATTGCGTGCTGTCCTTAATTAGTTACTGAAGGGTTTTTATTTTTTTATTTTTATTTGAATCTTAAAAAGATCCTATATATGCAAAATCACCACGCGATTTCTCTGCAGATAGCAAATATAACTTCTTAAAATGTAGAAAAGTAAAAACTATTCAATTCCGTAACATTCTGTTCCATCATACACGATCCATTCATAGCATTCCATACGTGCTATTTCGTGCGATGTATTAAGAAATGCTATGAGCACAGTAAACCCAGTTTTACTCTGCTAGCCTAATAGATTTGTTTAACAGCCGATCAACTTGATTTGGGTTTTTAAAAAAGATTTTTGAATTCAATTAATATGATATGCCAAATCATAATCCATTCAAAATTTAATTAAATTTTTAAAAATTTAATTTAGTAGGTCAAATCATGACCAATTGAAATCAAGTTAATTTTTTTAAAAAATTTCCCTTTAAAATAACTTTATTTTAACTATATAAAAAAAATTAAATTAAAATTATTTTAGATTAATCTAAGTTAATCCATATTAATTTATTAAATTTATGACTTCAAAGTCAAATCATATATTAAGCTGAGTTTAATAACTTCGGTTATAATAAAATTAAAATTTTATATCTTATGTATGATCTTTGTAGAATCATAACAAATAACATGATTAATTTTATTAAATCAGCTAGATCTATAGATTACCATGTCTAGCTTAATAAGGTTAATACGCCAACCCATCAATTCAATTTAATCTAATTCCTAGCTAGGATCGAGTTCCAAACCTGCTCACAATCATAACTAGATTAAATTCATTATTTGTTTGGTAAATATAAGGAAGAATTATCATAATCCATAACACTCAATGTGAACTATCCAATTTAAAGATTGAATTAACTTAACCAATAAAATAATTTGAGTAAACCCTAAATGACTAGAAATCAATTTCAGACAGCTTGGAGAGAAATGGGAAGGGGAAAATAGCCACAGCTATCACATAGTATAACATCCACAATTACAGAATGGAAACGTCTTCAAGTATTGAATCTGCAAAACATAAATTTCCAGTACAGACACATTTATTAAACCCAGTCTTAGATTTTGTCAAAATCATTTCTCTCCTTTCCTTTTACTGGATTCCCTAATCATTAAAAGCTCACCCATTTCTCAATTATCCACAAAGCAAATCAGAAAAAAAAAAAACCCAACAAAATTCAGAGAAAATAGAAAAAATTGCTGACACACAGAAAAGGTCCTCATTTCTTGTGGAAACAAAATAAAAACCCGTCTCAGAGAGTACAAAACCTGCATACTCTCTCCTCCTTACCATCATCTATTCAACTGGGTCGCCGACGATGCCTCCTCACATGGTGATGTCTATGTCAGAGAAAGCGAGTGCTCTCACACTCGCGAGTACAAAACAAAAATCTTATCTTCACCGTGGCATCTAACGTAAATTAAACGAACTCAATGTCCTGTTAGCTAGCAATCCATTACTACTCGTCTCTTTAACAAGAAGACTTTTAGCAGAGATAAGGACACATGCATGTCACACCAACCAACGGTCACGACTCTCTCTACTTTTTAAGTAGATGACTCTCACCCTTAGATCTCTTAAAAAACCAACCATGGTTTAAAGGAAACATTATTTATAACCATGGTTAAGTTAAGATACTAGTCACTTCTCACTTGAGTTAAACTCAAAAAACAATTTTTTCTCTGAGTTTAGAGAGAAGGGGAGAGATGAAAAATCTGAACTTGAAGTAGGAATACGTGTTGGTCTCTCTCTTTATAACACCATTTCATTTCTTTGGTTTTTGGTTCCTATCATTGTTATCATGGGGTTTTGATTTAGTTAAGAATCTCCAGTTATGGAAACCTGAGATTCTCAGATCTCTGTTTTTTTGATCAGTTTATGTTGTTTGTTTTTGATTTTTTTTTCAGTTCTATGTGATGTAATCATCACTATCTGATTCAACAACATTATCATTTCATAAAGAGAAAAAACCCAAAAAATTTTCCTTCACTTTCTCGAGAACGTTTGAGTCTTTTCTCATTTCTAATAAAACCCATTTGGTTTTTAGATCTCTAGATCTGTTTCCTTTTTTGTAAAGATCAAATTTTTTAGTTTCTAGATCTGGGTTCGTCCTCTTCTTTGTTTTTTTTAGAAGTTTTTGAATAAAAATGAATTATTTCCCTGATGAAGTATTAGAGCATATTTTCGATTTTGTAACATCACAAAGAGACAGGAACTCAGTGTCTCAAGTGTGCAAACCATGGTACAAAATCGAAAGTACTAGCAGGCAAAAGGTTTTTGTAGGGAATTGTTATGCAATTAGTCCTGAGAGAGTGATTGAGAGGTTTCCAGGTTTGAAATCTATCACTTTGAAAGGAAAGCCTCATTTTGCCGATTTTAATTTGGTTCCTCATGATTGGGGAGGCTTTGTTTATCCATGGATTGAAGCTTTTGCAAGGAATAATATGGGGTTAGAGGAGCTCAAGTTGAAGAGGATGATAATATCCGATGAGTGCTTGGAGCTGATTTCAAGGTCTTTTGCCAATTTCAAGTCCTTGGTTCTTGTTAGTTGTGAAGGCTTCAGCACTGATGGCCTTGCTGCTATTGCTTCTAATTGTAGGTAAGAAATGCTTTCCTTTGTGGGTTTTTGTTTGATTATCTATCTAGCCATCTCAGTTTGTAATTATTGCTGATTTTTTTGGTTAGAAATTGTTTAAGCTTTATATTAGAAAAGTAGGTTTCTTAGCATGGTTTTGATTGCTAATTGTTGAATGCTAGTGCAAATGTCAGCACTGTTCGGGTTATCGTTGTTGTCAATTGTTGAATACAAGGGCAAGTGTCAAGTATGTTTGGGTTCTTTCTGGTAATTTGGTCTTGGAATGCCTTTGACTGGATAGTTATTAGTGGGGACTCTTATTCTTTGTTTTGTAGTTTGGGTTTTGGTTTCTTTGACAGTATTGTATGGGGTTCTGCAGTTGTCTAATTGATGGTGAATGTGTGGCTATTAGGCAGTCAATGCTCTTAATTGCTTGCTAGGAGTTGAGCATAGAGTAAAGTAGTGGAGTTAGCTTGGTATAACTTTATAGTGAAATTGCCGGATGATTCGGTGTTTCTTTTGTTTGTGATCTCGAAGCATATGTGATTCAGCTATATTCATCTTATTATTACTTATAATGTTCTTTACGTTCCCCCTAGTGCCTATTTTGTGTTTTTTCAATTCATAATCTGTGAGTTATTACACGTCTTTTAAGTGTCTATATGTACACAGTCATCATTACAGGCCTGCTAATTAATACAGAAGGCTTTTCTATTTTATTGCTATTTATAAGGGTTACTGACGCCCCCATTGCTCAATATATATATATATATATATATAAAGCTCTCTTTATGATCTCTGAAGTTCGACTTCTAATTTCCATTTAAGTTTTAAGTGCAGCTCATTGTAGTCCAGGTGGTCATTCATGTTTGAGGTTTCAATTATTTGTGAAATTGTTATCCAATTTGATCTTTTTAAAAGCATCTGAAAGATAAAATGCTGAGTAAACAAGGAGCAACAATCATTTGATTGATTTAATATGAATAGAAGGAAATGGCATGAGGGGTTTCAAGAGATGTATATATATTGAGATAGTTAGCTATGCTCTAACTACTTTGAACGTCATTCTTCGACCCAGGTTTCTGAGGGAGCTGGACCTGCAAGAAAATGATGTCGAGGATCATAGAGGCCATTGGCTTAGCTTCTTTCCTGACACTTGTACTTCTCTTGTATCACTTAATTTTGCGTGTCTCAAAGGAGATGTCAATTTAGCAGCTCTTGAGAGACTTGTAGCTAGATCTCCTAATCTGAGGAGTTTGAGGTTAAATCATGCCGTGCCACTTGATATACTTCAAAAAATATTGATGAGAGCACCTCATTTAGTGGATTTAGGTGTAGGGTCTTACGTGCACGATCCAGATTCTGAGACCTATAATAAATTAGTGACTGCTCTTCAAAAGTGTAAGTCAGTCAAGAGTTTGTCAGGGTTTCTGGAGGCTGCTCCTCAATGCCTATCAGCTTTTCATTTAATTTGCCCGAACCTGACTTCCTTGAACCTAAGCTATGCTCCAGGAATTCATGGGACCGAGCTCATAAAGCTAATTCGTCGCTGCAGGAAACTCCAGCGCTTATGGGTATGCCTGTTCACCTGTTTTTAGGAATCACAAGTTCACTTTTTCTCACGATGACTGACAATGGTTTTTGCAATATCTGCAGATACTGGACTGCATTGGAGATGAAGGATTAGAAGTTGTAGCTTCCACTTGCAAAGATTTGCAGGAAATAAGGGTCTTTCCTTCTGATCCATTTGTTGGGAATGCAGCTGTGACTGAAGTGGGCTTGGTTGCTCTTTCAAGTGGTTGCCCCAACCTTCACTCAATCCTATACTTCTGTCAGCAGATGACCAATGCAGCCCTCATAACTGTAGCTAAGAACTGCCCCAATTTTACCCGTTTCAGGTTGTGCATCCTTGACCCCACAAAACCGGACACTGATACCAATCAGCCATTGGATGAAGGTTTTGGGGCTATTGTTCACTCATGCAAGGGGCTCAGGCGGTTGTCAATGTCTGGTCTGCTGACCGATAAAGTTTTCCTCTACATTGGAATGTATGCCGAGCAGCTTGAAATGCTTTCTATTGCATTCGCTGGGGACACTGACAAGGGAATGCAGTATCTATTGAATGGTTGCAAGAAACTTCGCAAGCTTGAGATAAGGGACTGCCCTTTTGGTAATGCAGCACTTTTAATGGACGTGGGAAAGTATGAAACAATGCGATCCCTTTGGATGTCATCCTGCGACGTTACACTTGGAGGCTGCAAGTCCCTTGCGAAGAAGATGCCGAGGCTTAATGTGGAGATCATAAATGAAAGTGACCAGATGGATATTACCGCTGATGATAGGCAAAAAGTAGAGAAGATGTTCTTATATCGGACTTTGGCAGGGCGAAGGAAAGATGCACCAGAGTTCGTGTGGACTTTATAGGTGAATCTAGGGTGTGTGTTTTTGGCCCTACCTGGCATTTCTTTGTTATTAAGTAGTAGTACTTTGTTTAGGCCAGCTCCAGCTGATTTTATGGATTTTTTAGCCTGTTGGTGTTCTAGTGGCATGCTACTATTTTTTAATTTGTAAGAGATTTGCTACTTTGTACTTGGATGTTTTTATAAATACATAACTGTGCTAGTATTGGCATGATCAGCCAGTTCCATCAGGAATTGGATTCTCAAGTACGAGTTTGCCTACCTTCCAGTTGTGAAGATACTCAAAGATTGTCAAGATATAGAGTACGGGGCAGAAGAGTTAATGACACGTTCCTTGTGTGGAGTTAATGGAGCTGCCATGTATTTATCCTCGCTTCTTTTGAAAGCTGTTCGTCAGGATCAAAGGAAGTTCTTCGGGTCAAGAAAATTCCAACTGTGGCTAAATTTAGAAGCTACGAAGCATTTTAGTACCGCAGAATCAGAATCAGAATCAGAAGCGTTGGGAAATATATCGTATCATGTTTGCAAGCAACTAACGAGAAACTTGAACAATAGTCAACGTCAGTGCATCAGTGAATTCTTGGCTTCTAGCAGATGATGAGATGTTCGAAATTTCACATTGCGCAACTCCTCTCCTGTAGTTGAAAGTGTCCCAACTTATGCTTCCCCTCCAGAAGGAGAATTTTCCTGGAATCTTCGTGCCAGCTTCTTTTGTTGGTTCTTTCTGATAATATAAGCAGTCCACCATTAGCTTTCAAGTTACAGCCTTAGTTATTAATTTCATCGAGATCTTTTCCACCTTCCATGATCCCTCAAATGTCAGGAGTCGCCTATAAATATAAAGCTTTCTCTGCGAGAAGCTTTCAGCACAGTAGTAATTAAAAAACAAGCTTTGCCAGATTTATCAAGGAAGCCACATTAAAATCAAGAAGGTGCGCGAGACAATAGCATTGAGGCATATCTAAACTGTTTTCAAGTTGGAGGAAATGACACTATTAAATTACATGTACATAGAAATCCATACAATTCTAGATAAGAAGAATGCGAAGCCATATACATCATTCGAAGCTCAACACATCATTCGAAGCTCAACGAAGCAGTATAAATTTAGAAGCAGCATTCCTCCAACACACAACAGCAACATAGCGCGGCCAAACTGCACATGCACAATAAATAATCATCATTATCACATCAATAATGAAGAATAAAGGTCATCATTCAAGTATATTTAAATGAAGTCATTACAAAAAAATGAGGTAGATGCCATGATTATAAACATTGCAGGGTAAAGTAACTGAGGATTCAGCAATATGATATGCCAACAGCTAAGCGACTGGGAGCATTCACAGCAAAGAGAAAGCATTAAGTGCTCCCCCATTTGCAAAGCAGATCGATGGGTAAAAGAATCCCAGATCGCTAACCAACCAGGTGACAAACCTATATGCATTTGCTGCATTAAGAGTTGCTGAAAGCCCTGGGATATGGCAACAAGATCTAATATCAAACAAGGAATGACATAAATGTTCATCGAAAGAGAAACCTCAAAGACAATGATCACAAGGTATCAAAAGCATCCTGTTGATCGCAGGGAACCCAGACCTTATAGATATGAACATAAACATACTGACTAGGACTGAAGTCACCCAATCAAACCTTGTCGACTTGTGAGATAGCTTGTGTTCTGACTCTTTTGAGAACTGAATCGTACAAGTGTAAACAGTATAGTAATACATGGACCAAGTCAGGTGTTTAATGTTCTATAGGGCGTATTCGAGGTCCTTTGTTTCTTTCCAATTGCCAATTTTAGTGACAAGCATAGACGCTTATTTTCTACTCCATCTCAGGACCTTCATAGGAATAGTACACTAGCCAGAGCTTATTCTAGTCATTAAAAGCTGATAGATGCATATGGCAGCCTGCTGTTGTATGGTGGCCAGCTGTTAAAGACCTTGTTTTCTGAAATCTGAAGTTAGGTTGTGACATTAAGACTTGAATACACCATTAAGCTCATTTAACATCCAAACGCTGTTATTAAGTGTCATAATTGTTTCAAACCATGTGTAAAGTTAGGTTGTAAGACAATAATAGATACATGTCGTTAAACTAATTCAGTATCTCCGATCCAGTCTTGCAATAGGTAGTTTCAAGTTTTATCATTGAACTGTTTCAACATGACATGTGGCGTGGAGAAATTTCAATGTGCCCCAACAATGGGACTTCAAGTAGTAGGAAGGTTCCACAGAACTGGCGAACTATGATAATGAAGCCAATTATCCAGGTCCTATAATAAGATTAAAGGTGCTCAACCAACTTCACCAGTTCAATGACATCCAAGCTACCTCGTATTGCTGAAGGAAACCCTCAATGAGTTAGTAATAATCTATTACAGATAGTTATAGGGCATGTTTTTTGGTCTAGTTATTTACTGCTTCAAACTCATGCTGGGCAGTTCCAAATTAAATTCGTGCTAGGTTGATGAAGTTTTTAAGAAGAGAACAACTTTCTAGTACTAAATTTTTCAACATTTTGGTTATTATCTGTAATCATCTATCATCACACATTTTCTCCATGTCCTTTCTGTTACAAACTCCCTGTTTCTACTCCTTCCTAGTTACTCTAAAACTTTGCATCTAAATAAGCTACCTAATGCCCTAACCAGAATTTAAAAAGAATCCAAACTTGCGCTACTGACATAGTTAAACAGTGATGTAAGAGTATTCACACATTTTTTTGTAAAGAAGAGCATGAGGAAAATCCAAATTGATTTTCCCTTTGGGGCTTCAGTTAACAAGAATGCTGTAGATTAAAGCTCCAAGGTTCACTTGCTTTGGTGGCAAGAGAAAAACAGTAATTCTCAAATAACTTGCAATTCCAAATCACATGATAAAACCCAAAAGAAATAGAAGACCTAAATTTTCCTTACCAACATCACTCTGAACTAGAAATCTACATGTATCTGAACTAAGAGGAAGTCACTGAACACCAGACATCACAAGCCTCCTGCTAATTTTGCACCAATTTCACCAAGACCTTACAGGTATTGAGGAGGACCTAAGTCAACTAGTCAAACCTCATCACTTTCAAGTTAGCTTGTTCAGTTCTGGGTGGTTTGAATCCATTAAGTTTAAGCAGTATGCTAATCAATTAACCATGGCAGGTTTTTAATGATCTACAAGGCTTATTCAAGACAAGGCTTATTCAAGACCCTTCCATAGCTTTCCGACAATCGACAACCTTTGTTAGGTAGATAGACAGTTCTAATCTACTACATTGTTTTCAGAATTTTCATAAGTACTAGCCAGAGATATGAAATAGCCATTAAAAAGTGCTAGATGTGCGTAGCTGTTATACGTTTAGCAAATATCTCAAACTTTGTATTCTAAAGTTAGGCTGCAAAGCAGATCTGCAACACAATCTAGCTTCTTTAACATAGGATGGCTTTTCTTTCGTTAAGAATTATTTCAAACTCTTTGTAGTAAAGTTCGGCTGTAAGCAAAAGATTGACTAAACAAAGAATATGTGCTCTAGCCTTGCAATAGTTAGGTTTCCACAGAAGTAAATAGGTGGAGAACAACTTTCTGGTTCTCTTGTAGCTTAGATGCTCAACCGATTCCTACATAGATAATGTCCGATTCAATGCCATCCTACCCACCTCATATTGCTAATAAAAACCCTTAACAAGTCAAGTGTGATTCATTACAGACAGTATAAGATCAGAGAAGTTTCTACTACGGAATTAGTTATCAGCTGATTAAACAGCATCCTAAACACTTCACAGTGAGACTGATAAGCTCGGAGAAGCCGCCAAGACTGAATTATTTTCCAATCCTAAACACTTAAAGTTCCATCATTGATTGAATCCCATGATATTAAACTAAATTCAAGACAAGATCTCACAAAAACAATCATCAATAATGGAATACCATAACATTAAACAAAATTCAACCCAACCACATAGCACCAAATCCCCCCCCCCCCTCCTAAAAAAAGAAGAAAGAAAGACGGAAGAAACAGAGCAAATAGATATGAAACATACCAACCACGTAAAAACGAAGAGCAACCATCCTCCTGGTAATGATGATGTTCATAGTGATAACACTCTTGGTACTGTTGCGGACCTGGAGGCGGTGGTGGTGGTGGATACCCTTCAGCGAAATACCCTTGGTACCCACGAGGTGGCCCCTGTGGTGGGTATCCAGGGTACCCTGGTGGTGGTGCTCCAGGAGGTGGGTACCCTCCGTACGGTGGTGTTGTTGGGGGGTACCCTGGTGGTGGGTAAGGTGGTGAGTACCCTGTCCCAATTAAAATTAAAAAAAAACAAAAAACATAAACCAAATTCTAAACTCAAAACAGAAAAAAGAAAAAGAAAAAGAAATTAATAATAATAATAATTAAGGAATTAAAAGAGTTTGATTACCTGAAGGAGGGTAGGGTTGATGAGCGGCTTTTTGGTAACTCATCTTCAAGAGAATGAAGAGAAGAAGAAGATGATTGAGTGGCTTTCCTTTGTGTTCGTCAAGTGTTCATATTGTTTAACTTGAAGATGAAGTAAGCCATTGATTTTCTTAACGGGTTTGTGAGGATGGTCTTAGTTTATGTTGGTGAGTTCTTTCTTGTAGCCGCTGGATGATATTGACAAATCATAGATCAAACGGTCTTGATTTGAAGGCTAGGTTACTGTTGCTTCTTGGTTCTTCCGTTGTAATAAAAGTCTGATCATTTTGTTCAGACATAAAATTCTTATTCATGTTTAGTATTTGTTTCGTGTATAAATACAAAAAAAATTAGCCTCGTTCCTAAAAAGAATGTTAGAATACTCAGATTAAAAAAAAAATCTCTTAAAATCGAGAAACACGTGCAAGTGCAACTGATTGACAGTTATTTACATTAAATTAAGAATCCGTAAGGTAAGAAAAATTAAAAACTAAATTCACTTCAGAGGTACAAAACACTATTGACAGTTATTGATTTGATAAATAATTAAGTAATAATTATTTCTAAACATATATTTCATAAGAGTTTTTCTGTGTGTTATTTTATTAAAATTAATTTAACTTATTAATTAAAAATTTAAATTATAATTTGAAATTTTATTCGGGTTAAATTTAAAATAACAGGGTAAGAAAATTTAAATTATGAGTGAAAAAATAAATTGTTATAACTTGTATAAAGGAAATGTGAAGTTTCATGGGCAGACATAGAAGCTTCATACATTGGGCTTCAAGGGCAAATAAATGATTTTCTGGAGTTCAATTATAAGTTCAGGTATATATATTTTTTTTTATTATCATGGGTATTAAATCGTGTGTATCCTGATTAATTCAAGTTTTAAAGTTAATTATCACATAAATTTTTAATAATTTTAAAATTTATAAAACTCGAAATGATAATCTCTAAAAAATAAATCTAAAATCTAATAAATTAAACTACATCTTTTATAATTAAATTACCTTTTGTTATTATTATTGCTACAAGTAGTTATTAGATTTAATTTGGTTCAAGACTCAGATAATTCAAGATCTTGGCTGAATTTAAATCTAGCAAAATTTAAACTTATAAGTAATTTAAAAAAAAAACTATTTTAGTATTATTTTCCTGTCGAGCCAACTTAGAACTCAAGTTACCTGAGATACATACATATTTTTTGCTTCTTTTGACATTGGTGAGGAGATAGAAGGGTGAAATGGCTGTGATTCTTGGTTGGTGCTGTTCATTTTGGGTAGAGAATGATGCAAAATTGTGGCTGTGGGGATGTGTTTTTGGCTATGAGAATATATACTTGGCTCTGGCCATAGCATTTGAAGGAGACCGTTGCTTACAGCTGACTAGAACATTTCATTAAGCCGTACGTGTGGACTTGGACTCTTGTAATTATAATTTTTCACGGATATCAACTTGGATTTCTTCATGGTTTAGGATGAGTAGTAATATTTTAATTTATTATTTTAATATATTTTTTATATTTATATAAATTATTTTTTTAATTTTTATATAAAATATTAAAATCTTACATTTTTTTAATTTTTTTTTTGAATTTATCTAAGCTAACCTGTATGACTCAAAGCCTGCTCCTTGATGGAGTCACTATGTCTAATAACTATAATTAATAATATTAACAAGGATTAAATCTAGTGGTAAAGTGTTAGTACTTTTTTTTATTTAATCCTATTTATTTTTATATTTTAAAAATATTTATTTTTTATTTTTTATTTTTTGTGTTATTAGTTTATTTTGATTTGTTAATAGAAAAATAATAAAAATATTACAATAAGCTTATAACTTGAGACACCATTAAGATATCATTCATGGTCAACCTTCTCGTTTTCATGTCCCGTGCTTCTTATCCTTAACAATGAAGAAATCCATGTCGATACCCCTTGAAATTTCTAATTAGACGAGAGTCAAAGTCCACAAGTACGGTTCAATGCAGTGTTCTCGTCAGCTATAAGCATCTGTCTCCTTCAAATGCTATGGTTAGAGCCACATATATATTCTCATAGCCAAAAACACATCCCCACAGCCACAGTTTTGCATCATTCTCTACCCAAAATGAACGGCACCAACCAAGAATCATAGCCATTTTACCCTTCTATCTCCTCACCACTGTCAAAAGAAGCAAGCCCTTTTCATAGAGCAATGTCAGACTCATTGCCTAGCACTTCCCGTCATTCATCATTCTCATCACCACCATATGATGAGAACTCGGAGAAATGGGGGACTCGTGTCATGGGAAATCCTGCTGTTCCTTCGTGCCATCCAGATAATAAAAAGGCAGCCTTATGGGGTGCAACTGATGATGAAGCCCAGAACTTCCATCATCCATACCTCCAGTACAGCCCCATTGAAAAATCATCACGTAGCAGTAAGGAATCCATTCTCCAGGTGTTTAATTCTTGGGGCACCAAGGCTGATACCATCGCTCAAAATATCTGGCACAACCGTATGTAATGTTTTGATCATATTCAATAGATTTAAAATCTTTGATCATTTCAGATTTAAAAAATGAGCTTTTTATGTTAATATCATCATGATCATTTTGTTCAACAGTCAGGACTAATTCATCTGTTCCCGGAGCCGCATGGGGCAAGGTGAACCTGACAGCTAAAGCGTTAACAGGAGGTGGGTTTGAGGCTCTATACAAGCAGACATTCACAAGTACTAATCCAAATGAAAAGCTGAAGAAGACATTTGCCTGCTATCTGTCCACAACAACAGGTCCAGTTGCCGGAACCCTTTATCTATCTGATGCTCATGCAGCTTTCTGTAGCGACCGTCCCTTGTCTTTCACAGCACCCTCAGGCCAGGGAGCTTGGAGTTATTACAAGGTAAAGAAAAGGGTTACAAACCAGCATAATCTGTGTGATCAATAGCACCTAGCACAAACCAATATCAATGAAATAACTATTTAAGAATTTCTTCAATATCTATCAGAATCATTTGAATTGAGTGTCAGAGGTTTGGCTGGAACAGGTAATGATACCTTTGAGCAAGATTGGCACCATCAATCCTGTAGTCATGAGGGAGAATCAATCCGAGAGATACATCCAGATCGTTACAATTGATGGAAATGATTTCTGGTTCATGGGCTTCGTTAATTATGAGAAAGCATCGCGGCATCTAACAGAAAGTATCTCAAGTTCTGTAGGAAGCATAGCAGCAGAGCCGATGGTTGTATAAAATTTGTGGCCCTACCATATCCCATTGGATTCTTTCTCAGAGAGATTTTCATTACTGGTCTTTTTTTTTTTGGGTTAAAATCTCTACCATATACCATATCGCAAAGCATTTTTCTTTTCTATGATCTTCTTCTGTGAATAAAATTATGTCACTATTTTGTCACAATGATATAGATATTGCACTAGATCATTCAACAAGGATTTTTTTTTAAATTTTTATGAAACATCTATTTTGATTTTTGTTTGGTGAAATATCTATTTCAAAAAAAATCTCCAGGGATGAACTGCACCAATATGAGTAATTACACCACCCATTACCACTAACACTATTTATCAAAAAAGATGTAAATGATACAAAAAAAAAGTTTTTAGCTGGTAAGAGACGTTGTATGAGTCATTCCAAGGGCATAACCACCTCCTCTTTGTTGGCTTGTACAACTACCTTTTGTTTTTCAAATTTATTAAAATAACAAATTAAAATCCTTTTATAACATAAATATTAGTTATTTATATCATAAGCTATGAAAGAATTAAGTATTTGTTATATTAATAATTACACACCACAAATGAAGACTTGTCATTTAAGAATAAATGTATTAAGGTTGATTAAAATAACAATTATAATACATGTTAATAACAAACTTTCTTGAATTTAAATATTAAAATTCATATTAAGTTTGTATTATACTTATTATCACATCATTATTGTAACCTTTTCACATTGAAAAAAATAAACTTAACTAAAGTTAATTAAGAAGAAAAACATAAATAGCCAAGATAATAATATAATTATGATATAAATTAACTATGTATAATAAAAAATAATAAACATAAACAAGAAATTTGTTGTAACCCAATTTTGGATTCACTAAGATTTTCTCGAATGTTATTTTATTTTATTATTCATAAAAAAATATATAAAAAAGAGTTTAAAATATATTTTCTCGAGTCAACCGCATCTTTCGATCAAAATCGAATCCATCAGGTCAATACGGGTTAAACGATGTCAATCGGGATAAAAAATGAGTTTTGGGTCGTTTCGGGTCAAAAACATCATTTCCAGTCAAAATCGAGTCCACCGGGTCAATACAGGTTAAACGATGTCGACCGAGATAAAAAATAAGTTTCGGGCCGTTTTGAGTCAAAACCGAGTCCACCAGGTCAATACGGGTCCCACCATGTCGACCAGGATGGAAAATGAGTTTCGGGTAAAAAATGGCATTTTCGATCAAAACCGAGTCCATCGGGTCAATACGGGTCTCACCATGTTGACCGCGATGAAAAATGAGTTTCAGGTTATTTTTGGTCAAAAAACCCGATCTACTGAGTTGATACCCGTATAAAGATTTTTTTTATATATAATTAAAATTGATTTTTAGCAATTGAAAAGCTTTTTATAATACTGATTTGAGTTTTTAATTTTACCCCTATAAATAAATATTATTATATAATAAAACAAAAAATAATTCAATTTTGTCACAGTAGGCGGAGGATTTCTGCCGATGGTAGGCGGTGCAGCTGTACATTGAAAATTTTATACAATCCCATGATTACCTGCACAATTTGTGATTCGTTGTCCCCTATTATTAGCTATAAATAGCCAATGAAACCAAGACACAAGGAAAAAAGAAAAGAAAACAAGATAATTTTGAATTCGATACCAAACTATTTATAATACTATTTGTGTTACTATTTGCAACTGTTTATGTATTTTCTACTTTTTCTTCATGTGAGTAAGATATTGATTTTTTAAAAAAACAATTTGAAAAATACCAAAAATATCCCAACTGTTAGATCTAATAGTATTTAAATTTGAGCCTTTGATTTTTTAGTATACTAGGCTTTACCACATCGGATTAAAACCCAAATTCAGCTTCGCCTTTAAAATAATCTGCCCTTTGAT